CTGGCCGTGCTGGGGCCGCGTCCCACATACAGCAACTAGAAGGCTGTGCAACTATGACATACAACTATCTACTGGGGCTTTGGGGGAAAAAAATAAATAAATAAAAATTTAAAAAAAATTAAAAATAAAAATATAAACGTTTTGTTACTGTGTAGCTGAATGCGAGTCACAACCAGTGATACAGTAAAGACAGATGTATTCTCTCCTCTTCACAGCTCAAAGAGTGTAAATGCAGAAAATGTAGGTACATCAGTACAGGACATCTTTCCTGGATGAGAATGAGAGGGAAGTCTACTACAGCACGATACCAAGTAAGAAGGAACAAATACTTTAATGTTTACCGTAGCAAGGCACACTGCTGGGTGCTGTGAGGCAGGCAAGGAAGATCTACATGAATGGTGCTGTTTATATTAACCAGGTTGCTTAACCTTTCTGAGCCTTAATTTCTGATCTGTCAAATAAAGATTACAATCTTGTACAGAGACTGTGAAGAAGAGGGCAGTTATGTAAAGCCCTTCAACAAGTGTAGCAGTAGCTCACAGCAGCAGCTATGATGATGACCGGGATGGTGGTAGCATCGCAACAAAGGCAATGGAAGTCCTTGTCCTCAGAGAGCTCACAACACGGATGTCGAAGACAATGCGCGCGTGTTTGCCCTTCCCCAGTCATGCTGCGCTTGCCACGGCTCTTTCCTGCAGACTAATTGTGGTCTCTGACTGCTTCTCAAAATAAAGTTGTAGGAACCAAAACATTAAAATTTTCACAAAAGATGACACCTATTTGCTATCCTGACTTTAGAGTACGGCTGTGAAGATACAACTGAGAGTTATCAGTTATCCAAGACTTCCTGTGCGTCAAGCACTCTTCAACGTTAATCCTCTCCACAACCCTATGATGTAGGCACTATTATTAGCCCCACTTTTCAGATGAGAAGACATGGCATGTTCACATGAAAAGCTAAGCGGCAATAGCTTACAGTATTACTGGAGTCACAAGGCAGTTGCAATCATATGTCAAATTAGTGGTATAAGTATTAATTGGTATAAATTCATATTATGAATATATTATCTATTATATATAATTGAACAATTTATAAATGAATGAATGAATGGATGAATAAATAAGTGGAGGAAGGAAGAAAAGAAGGAAGGAAGTCTCTCATTTATGCTAGAACTTTTTGCTTCATACAGTTAACTGTCATAATATTTGATTCAACCAAGAATCATCCATTGATGCTGAAAACATTGGGTAATGTTTGCTGAGGGAAGATACTTACATAGCTACAAAGTATCTACCAACAGCTTAATTATTAATTACGAAGGGAAAACAGGCATTTTTACTGTGGAGAAATTGAGTGAGCCCCTCTTAATCAAGGGTTCAAAACTAAACAAATAATGGGACAAACTGACATCATAGGTCTCCCATTAAGATATGCCAAGGACACATTACCTATGCAGCATTCTTTTTTTTTTTTTTTTTTTTTAAAGATTTTATTTATTCATTTTTTTCCCCCCAAAGCCGCAGTAGATAGTTGCATGTCATAGGTTCACATCCTTCTAGTTGCTGTACGTGGGACTCGGCCTCACGTTGGACGGAGAAGTGGTGCCTCGGGGCGCGCCCGGGATCCGAACCCGGGCCGCCAGCATCAGAGCGCGCGCACTTAACCGCTAAGCCACGGAGCCGGCCCTATGCAGCATTCTTGCCAAAACTACATAACCTTAAACAAGGCAAGAGCAGGGAAAATCAGATAAACCCAACATGAGAGACATTCTACAAAACTGTCTTGCACTCTTCAAAAATGTCAAAGTTTAAAAGACAAAGGCAGAACAGAATCTAAAAAAAAAAAAAAAATTGAACTCATAAAAAAAAAAAGACAAAGGCAGAGAAACTGTTATAGATTAAAGCAGACTAAAGAGATACATCAACTAAATGCAATATGTGATCCTGGATTGGATCCCGGGCTGGGAAAAAATGGCCATAAACAGCCATTAGTGAGACAACTGACAAAATTTGAATATCGACCGTGTAACAGGTAATACTATTGCATCAGTGTTAAATTTTCTGAAGTTGATAATTGCATTATGGTTGTGTTCTTGGGAGATGCTCAAGTATTTAGAGATAAAGGGACCCAGCATCTGCAATCTACTCTCATGGTTCAGTAAAAATGATAAACTATGTATGAATACACATAAATCAATAATATAATAAATAGAGAGAAAGCAAACTTGCAAAATGTTAGTAAGTGGTGATTCTAGTGGAAGGACATGCTGGAGGTCATGGTACTACGCTTGTAGTTTTTCCTAGGCATGACAGTTTTTAAAATATAAAGAACTAATGAGATTTTAAATGCTACTTTTCTTTCTTTTTTCCTAAATTAGAAAAGTAATATATACTCACTAAAGCAGAGGAAAGTAAAACATACTGAACTAGAGGTCTACAAATAAAGTGAAAATAAACAGTCCTCCTCTATCCTCTCACATAAGCAAAGTTTGATTTGGTTTGGTTTGGTATATATTTTCTCCACCTTTCACTAAGTTCAAAAAACACATATTTAATCAGATATCAGGTCATTCTTAAAGAACTACATGAGTGAGCTACAAATATATTATTAAATGTTCCATTGCTTCTAAAACTCATTGGCAAACATGATCAAGTGATATATGAGTGAATCTATACATTGGAAAAAATCCAGAAATTATTACCTTTATCTTATCACTTAGAAAACACCTAGCCAGCAAGCCAATACATAGTTCATAAAGTCTAACAAAAATGTACAGAAGAAATGCAGGCTTCCTTTCCAATAACTACCAACCCCAAGCCAAAATGTTTTACATCTTTAAATTCATGTTGATTCAGTAAGGGTGGGGATGCTTTGCAGTAATTTACCACGTCTCTGTATTGCTGACAATCACGGAGTAAACCAAGCCCCAAAGGCGAAACGGAGTTTCTATTTTTCCTACTTACAAGTTTATGAGTTATGCTCCTGTAGTTTACTGTAATCAACTCCATTTCTGAACATTACCCACTCAGGTAAATACCCACACAAGAGCAGGACTTGGCAGTTTCCAATTCCTGCTTTCACTCTTGTGCTTTCCTATGTCATTCTCCTGCTCTTGCCAAGACAGTAAAAAAGGTATCACGTATGGATAGGGGGTGGAGTGAATGGGTTGCAATTATTGTTTTCCTATCAAAATCTGTTTCATGTCTCATAAAGTCTTTCTCACATCCAACAATCATATAAGAACATATTCGTCGTACTGAAATTGCATGACCTAATTTAGCTCAGAAATATTAGCATACTTATATACTTCTTTGAACATAAATTTGATGGAATTGGTTTATTTTCTATTCTCACTTGGTCAATTAGAAGTTTCAGAGTTAAAAACTAAAGAACAGGGTCTGGATTTCACCTGTCCCTACGGGGGCAGCTTAATACATTTCTTGAAGCTCTATTTCCCAATCTATAAAATGGGTCCAACAATGCTTGCCTATAAAGGACTTAGGAGTTCACTAGATAAAAGAAGCTAGGTTCAGTCCAGTGTAAGAAATGGTTTTATTATTTGGCTACTATTAAAAAATTTGTTGATCAAGAAATGAGGAGGAGGAAACTTTCTACATAGTACCCTTCTGTTTTGCACACACATTGGCTTTAAAAGCTATCACTTCCTAATGATTTCCACAACCTACAGATACCCCAAGGCAGAGCTATCTCAGTCCTTCGGACCTGGCTTCTACAACTGGAAACACAGCTGGTGATCACACAACCACGCAGCACTGCTGGGAGTACAACGTGCTACCATTCGGGTTTCCTGCTCTAATCAATTGCTATGGTTCACTGGCAGCAGTTAATAAAAAAATGAAATCATTCAGGGAGATTAAAAGATATTTATGAACGTTCACTTTAAGGAGATATTGAAGAGAACAACAATTAGCCAAAACAGGACATAAATACAAATGCCCAAAACAAGCTCCAGCGGGTAGCTATTAAAAGTGATCAACGCCATGGGGGCCGGCCCAGCAGCATGGTGGTTAAGTTCACATGCTCCACTTTGGTGGCCCAGGGTTCGCAGGTTCAGATCCCGGGCGCAGACCCACGCACGGCTCATCAAGCCATGCTGTGGCAGGCGTCCCACATATAAAGTGGAGGAAGATGGGCATGAATGTTAGCCAGGGCCAATCTTCCTCAGCAAAAAGGGGAAGATTAGCAACGCATGTTACCTCAGGGCCAATCTTCCTCACACACACACACACACACAAAAAGTGATCAACACCACTGAGCCCTGCAGGTCAGCTCCACAATTAGCTTTACTCTCAGTACCAAACTGAACGTGGGGACATACTGTGTCTGTCACCTTCCTAAGAAAGATGAACGGCCTGTGTGAGTTTTGAGCTCGACTAGGACCAGCACAAATCCCAGACTCTGAAAGCCAAGATCCTTTTCTGATTTTACAAGTAGGGCAGCTCTCTGTCCAGTGTCTGTTAATCCTTCATTAAACAAAGTCCATCATTTCTGGCTTCAAGTAGAGGTGAAATCCAAGAAGGTGGTATTGCTGATATTTTGGTAGAAAACTAATGTTTTTCTATTTTTTAAAAGACAACTCCTGGTGACCACAAATTCACAGACAGAAAATGGAAAGGGGATGAAAACTTTACACTTTACTCTTTACTGACCCCTCTTGGCTGACCTGGGGAAAAGAGAAGTCTGAAGCCTGGGAAGGTCTGAAATCTCACCTCCCCTGGAGGAGAGCTCAGAGAACATTCGGTCTTTCATGCCATGGAAAGACATCTCTCGGTTCAGATGACCCCTAGGAGAACTCAACCCTAAAGCACACACGGCAGTGATTTCTATTTATGGGGCTCCAGAGTGGAAATTGGGAAACGGCCTCATGGATCAGCCCCAAAGGCCTTGCTAGGTTCCTGGCAGCCTGTGACCTCTGACTCTAGGTTGAAAAGCTTACATAAGTGCTATGGTGGTTTCTGATAGCAGGAAAAGACCTTACCTCTTTCTCTATTTTGAGTAGCTTCTTTACAGCCACCTCCTTGTCCTGTGATATCCATTTGGCTCGATAAACACTCCCAAAACTTCCTCCACCGCAGTTTTCAAAAAACTGCAAGTCATCAAATTTAATTTGCACAAAGGAGGTACCGAGAGACGACATCTCATAATGACAAAGTATTATACTTCCACAAAATCTGCAGAGAGAAAGAAAAAGAAAAATTTGATTATAAATATATTCAAATGAATCCTCTGAATCCCACTTTAGATAATGTATAACAAGTCCTGTGAAACTTCCAGAAAGAACCTTGACAACTTAGGAGCAAGAAAAGCAGGACTATAAACAAATCAAAATGAAAACACTTACCCTGGCAGCCCGTGCAAAACTGAGCAGCAACTTGTCCAGACTTTTAAATGCAGCTGTCCACAGAGAAATGGCTCAGATTTCCCCTCTGACAAAACCTGTAGCAGCACTTCCTGCACATCGCAAGGAGCTCTGCCTAAAGGCTACTGTGTCACCAGGTCTCCTATCATGAAGCCCTGACAAACGGGAAGCGTGCTTTCAACAGCGAGCTTGCATAGCTCTTCTGGCATCCGAGGCATGCTGTCTCTCCACATTGTGCTCACTTCATACAAAATATACATAACCTAAGCAACTGGGCATCCTGGCACAGGGAGAGCCAAAATGCTGCAAACTGAACACGCATTCAGTGTTTAGATTCCAAAAGCAAACGCTCAGCTTAGGTATGATAGAAAAGCAGGCCAAGTGTTTTCCAGAAGTGGCTCCCTGGACTGTATACTGTAGCAGAACTTAATTAAAGAGTAGAAAATTTGCCCTTGATTACAATATATTAAGTCATCCAAAGAACTCTGCCAAGAATGTTAAAAAAAAATATTATGCTTGTTTCCAGAGCAACAGATTACCCCTCCCAGAGATTATTATAGTGATATTTTCTGCAGTCTAAGGAGTTTTACTATTCTTCAGCTAAGTGGTCATTCTTCACACCCCATGCCAAACCACAGATTAGCAGGGAAAACATACAAACAAGAAAACAAAGGACTAAAATTTTGAAGCTGCATAAAAAGCAGGTGGATACACAAGTGTGTATACATATTCTTGCCAAAACTGTAAGCCAGAATCTTATAATGAGGGAGCAAAAAGACAAATCCATATGCATAGGATAGTCTACAAAACAACTGGCCTGGGCTCCTCATAATTATCAATGTCATGAAAGATTTAAAAAAAAAAAGGGAAACTTCTAGCATAAGGAGGACTTAAAGAAATATGATGACTAAATGCAAGGCATGATCATTGACTGGATTCTGGATCAAAAAAAATCTGCAGAAGGTATTATTGGGATTTTAGGGAAATTTGAATATTAACTATATATTAGATGATTTTATTTTATCCATGGAAAATAACGGTATTCTGGTTTCGTAGGAGGATGTCCTTGTTCCTGGGAGATAATATTGGGAGACGTATTCAAGTATGATATCTGCAACTTAATTTAAAACGGTTCAACTCCCCCTCCCGCTCCCCCTCCCCTACACCCTCCAAAAAAAGTGTGTAGGTATAGAGAGAGAGGAAGCAAATGTGGCAAAATGCTAAGAACTGGCCAATCTAGGAGAAAGTTATATGGGCGTTTTACTGCTCCTTCCATTTTTCTGTGGGGCTTGATTATTTTCAAAATAATAAGGTGGAGGGGCAGGTGTATCTATATAAATTGACAACATTTCTTCATAAACAACTTGAAGCTTTGCTGAGGGACATACACAGTCAGCTCAGAGATCTTAATGTGCAGCTGACCAGGAATCCCACTTCAGGAACATCAGGTCACTAGTATGCTGATTTCTTATGTGAAGTCAAACTCTGCTCCACTTTGGGGAGAAGGCAAGAGAGAGGATTGTTTGTTTATCCTCTAAAGTTTACAGTCTACATAAAAATACAGGGGAAAAAAACTGTAGTATGCAGACACAGTCCATACACATATCTGAGCCAACAATTTACCTTATTAATTTTTGCTTCAATTCATATTCAGTTAATCATAGAAAAGATGACAGTTTGGATAAAATTTAGGCATGCGCCAAAGGTTGGTACATAGAATACGCAAGCTAAAAAGTTTGTTCAACAATGCAAAATACCACTTGCAAGATTCCCTCAGTGGTACAGATGCTATTAATCATTTTTATTTTTATCAAAGTATAAAAAATAAAATAGGACTACAAAGCTTAAAATTAAAATAGAACCCCCCTGCCCCACGCCTCCCCACACCCAATTCTCTCTCCAGAGGGAACTAATTTCAACTCCTTTAGCATTTTCTTCTGGTATTTACTTCCATATTTCTAACAAGTGTGTTTATATTGCTATTTCTTGATTGCTCCATTTTAGATATTATCTATTAACTTCTCCCTGTGGAAGATAAAGACTTAGTTCTTCTATACGACTCTTTACCTCCTTGCATACAAATATGTCAAACTTGCTCAATCTTCCCAGCTTCCATCTATATCGTAACATTTAATTAAGTCAATATTCAGGGTTTACAGTACTCTGACAAAGTAAATAATATTCCCAGCAGTACTATGTTCAATGACTTTTCCTTTCTTTGGTAACTTTTTGTTTCTCCTAAAGTTATTAGTTGCTCTGTTTTTGTTTTTGCTGTTTGCTTATTTTTATTCCCCTAACACTTATTCACCTCATCAAACTCTCCAGAAATGCAAAACTCTTCTCAATAAAGTAAAAAACATCAGATAATTTTTGGGGGGGTTCTATTTTTTCTTGGAGACATTCCTGCTATACCCTTCATCTCAATTCAACCTAGCTGGAGTGTTTGTTCTCTAGGCCTGACTTGGATTGGGGCTTCCCTTCACCATCATCCTAAGAATTTCCTTCACCTTTTCCTCTGAGGGAAGCCCTGTCCTTGGATCTCCTGGCTTCTCTTTCTTGGTTTATTTCCTTGTTTTGACAGTGCACATCTCCCAGTAGCCACCTCAATAGAGTGCCTAGAATGTAAATTTTTTGAGAATCTGTATGCCTTAAAATGCCTTGATTGGTAGCCTGCCTGGGTATGCAATTCTAGGTAGGAAATAACTTTCCTTATAATTTCAAAAGTATTACTCCAATAGTCTTCTAGTTTCTAATGTGGCAGTAAAGCGGTCTGACCCTACTCTGGTTACTAATCCTTTTTACATTATTTTTTTTCCCTCTGAAAGCTTTTAGGATCCTGTTTCATCCGTGAATCCTGAAATTAATAGGATATGCTTAGGGGTGAGTCTTTTTCATTCATTGCTTTGACACTCAGTGAACTCTCTCAGTCTGTAACTCATCTCCTTTAATTCTGGGAAATACCTTTACCACTTAGAGCCACTTGTACTTCTTGTCTTCTAATTCCCCATACACACACGAGGAACTACTTGCAGTTCCCAGCGCATGCTGACCTCTCTCACATCTCCATACCTTTGCACAGGGTAGTGTCTCTGCTTCAAATGCCTTTCTGTGCTCAGTACCCTCCTGTCCCCGAACCACCTCCTTTGAGCCTCATGAGCAGAGTTAAATTCTCTTTCCTCTGTGCCATAGCACCTTTCTTTACCCATTCATCTTTCCCACTTACTTCCTACCAGACTATAAATTCCAAAAAGGCAAAACTCATTTCTATTTACATCTGGATCTTCAGCACCTACTACACAGCCAGGCACACTGCACCTTTTCCATTCAAAATTAGTTGTTGGACGAATGAATGAATGAACAAATAAATGAATAAATAGTTTCTGGATATTCTTCCATTATACATTTTGCAGCTGGAAAGATTCCAATCAGATTAAGTAAAATCCGAGACTCGTAGTTTTTACAAGTGCCCCCAGAGGATTCTGAAGCAAATCTCGATTTGGAAACTGCTGCCTAGGCTTCTTAGGAGACTGAGGAGAGTATGTTTGGGACTTCCAGGATTGCGTGTTTCTGAGTCCAAAGGAGGAGGAAGAGGAAGAAGACGAGGAGGAAGAAGAGGAAGAGGAGGAGAAGGAGGGAAATCCTTTCCCAAAAAAACGTAGAGATCGGAACCAGGATGAGATCAAAGTGAGTAAATCTAAACCCTCTGGTGCAGAGCAAGTTCAGGGAATATGGATGAACTGAGGTAGGATCAGCCACATTTGAAACTGACCTAAGAGTGCCAAAGGAAGGCGGACCTCTGAGAAGCACAGTTCTCCAGGATCTTCACCCCTTGAGATGAGGCAACCAGTCATGTTCTTCCCAGAATCACTGTTACTACTCACTTTGTGAAACATCCTGCCATTTGGAAACTGGCTATGTATGACTAGAACTATGCAATTACTTGAATGTTTTATTGAGACCATAAAAAATTAAGTCCTGTCCGATTACTGAAGAGACTACCAATTCTAGGGTGTACAATACAGGTTTTAACTCCAGTAAGCTTGGCAAAGCATTATGGACTTAGCTGAAAAACCGGATTGAGATTCCCACTGCTATCTACATGAGTGTCAGACCATATATATTTATTTTTCTCCTTGAGCATTCTCTCCTTTAATTTAAAATCATTATTTTAAGAGGATCAACTTATGACCAGAAGAATGGAAAATGCAAGTTGCTGATTAATCATACTAGAGCATCTTGGGGAAGACTGGTACCTGATTAAATTATGTTCTAATTTTTCAGATGTGTTCTCCAGTGAATACATCAGAATTTAATATGAGTCCTCTATACAAATGTATTTACACAGTAAACCCAATAAAATGTTTTCATCCCACCATGTTAAAATAATTGCCTTTACACAAGAAAGGCAATTGTTCTCCATGCAACAATTCCCAGTCCTAATTTTGTAGAATTCTAACTTTTGCTTCATAAATCCTTCAAAACTGTTTTAAATATTAATGATAAGTATCTACCACCCAGCACTGAAGGGTAAGCTTGAGCAGAGCTATCACAAAAATCAAAGCAGAAAACGGTGTCACAACTCTGAAAAAATGTTGAAAATCACTAACTTGGTGGCTGAATCCAATCATTTGAGTACTTCAGTAGTAAGAAAAATTTTTTAATTTAAGGAAATTAAAACTTAAAAGGAATTTTTTAACTATTAACTAAATTGCTGACAGCATATATATATATATATTTTATATATATATATATAGCACAATCAACTAATTATCAAAAGTAAAACCATATGGAGGTAGAAAACTTTAAAGAGAGTATTATTTTACTTCTTAAAGTTTTCAGTCTTCTAGTCCAAAAAAACGGGCTTTTGTCCTGAATTAAAAACAATAAAAAAACCAAAATAAAAAAGACCCTGCTAATGTTCTAACATAAAAAAACAAGGTTTAGAATTAGATAGATAGGAGTTTGAACTCTGCCTCTACTGCTCGGTGACCTTGAACCAATCACATTTTCTCAGACTATGCCATTTCAGACCCAATAAATAAAAAATTTAAAATCTCTTCCATTCTGTTACCAAATGTCTGAAA